CATAGTTGAGAAGGTCCCGTAATTTTTTTTCAAACGTGTATTTTCGAAACGATGTGCAGGTTGGCCTTCAAATCACAACCGGGAAGATCCTGTCTCATTTGTTGTTCCATCACAATAAGGAATCCCGTTTTGAAACCGTTGTAACATTTCCACCAGCGACTGAAAATGTCCTTAAGAGCATAAACAAGAGCCTGATCTTCGCACAATTTCCAGCTACGCCTAGTAATGTTCATTTTCTTCTTATTTCCAGAACTTTGAGGCACTAAAGTTGTACTCATCTTCCCTATTGAAATTTTTATTTTGTTGTGATAAATTAAAAGGGCCAGTATATAACCGTTAACAATAAAACAACAAGAGATTCACAAAATAATTCAACATATCAATGCGAATACACATTAAACCAACAAGACATTCGTTAAAATAAATCAACAAGAGATCCATAGGACGCAAAACATAATATCCAAAAAAAACTTTTAATAAGTCAAATAACAACATTGAAGTGCAATGTATACAACCAGTTTAGAGATTCAAAAATAATAATATGTCTATAAATATTAATTAACGTTTCCATTCCATTCGTTATACATGCTCATGGCCATGTTATCGCGCAATAATGCCCATTCAGGTGTTGACTCTACGTTGTTGATAAAGTTATCACAATTCTCGTCAATGTTCTTCTCATCGTTTTGAGGAACAAAGACTTCTTCCAGGTCGTGATTGCAGTTAGTACGGATGCAATTGTGTAACAGGCAACATGACATAATTATACGATTGTGCATTTTGATTGGATAATATGAACAACTCCTAAATATGCCTCATTGAAACTTTAAAATGCCAAATGTTCGTTCAATGACATTACGTGCTTCAAAATGTCTCATATTGAAGTACTCTTTCAAGTTTTGGGGTGCAAGACGACCAACTCCATAATCGTGTAGATGATATTTGGTATGCCTATATGGTGATATAAATCCATCCCCATTGGTATATTCGTTATCAACCAAATAATAGTGACCTGGATTTTTTTTTTTAATAAATAAATTTAATAAAAAAAAGATCAAGGTAATTTATTAAAAATATGTTCGATCTCATACCCGTTGGAACCTTAATACCGTTCTGCCTAGTAATTGCATCCCGTAATATTCTACTATCTGCCGTAGACCCCTCCCACCCAGTCAAAACGTACGCGGAATTTAAGTTCTGATCACACAATGCTAGAATATTGACTGAGATGTCACCCTTTCGATTTCTATAGCGCAAAATTTCAAGTTCTGGAACTCTCTCTTAAATGTATGTGCCATCTAACGCACCCAAGCAATCCTACTAAAACGTTTCGTCAATGTAAAACGACTTATTTCATTAATAATTAATAATCAGTGTGTTTGAGGTTAATCATAAATGTTAATTAAATTAAATGTGGACAAGGTTTTGTTAATAGCAAAGTTCAAATGTACCATGAAATATTTCCAACGGAAATCATCGCAATCTGCAGGAACCGGTTCTGGATTACCAAAAACAATGAATGCAACTTAAGAACAACCTTCATTACTTTACTAAAGTAGTTACTGACCGTGTACCCTGACCTATCATGATTCGTATGAAAAACCACATTTTTTGTGTGGTCGGCTAAAATATGCAGAAAGATTGCAACATGTTCAGGTACTAACATGTTTCAGGCTGATTGTAGTCCACCTACTTGTTCGAGAACATATCACACACGATTAAAAGTATCTATATTCATTCGTAAATTGTTATGGCATCTCACATCGTTAGTACCAACCCACTTACGCAATGATGAAATTTGACCGGATAGTCTACTTTTCAGACTATAAGTTCTTCTAACAGAATGACCACATGTCAAGAGGCGACGTCTAACCGTCTCATACAACTCGTTGAAAAGCATCAGAACCAATTTAATATCCCTTATCCTCGTTATACACATCCCTTAACCTAAATGATTATTCATTAACAATAGCCACAATTGAAATTACTGAAGTTAGAAACCTTAATAATTTAAGCACCACAAATATAGTTGTGAACAAAAAGAACATCATGCTCAACCATCAAATAATCAATGTGCTCGACCATAAGATATGCACAAAGACAGTAACTCAATAAATATAGCTGTAAAAAGAAGATCATCATGCTCAACCATCAAATATTTAAATATGCTTCACCATCAAATATGCATAAATTCAGTAACTCAACTTCTAAATAATGAGTACACGTATACCATTACCCAAAAAAAAAAAAAAATCCAAACAAAAGAACACTTATCCTGGTTAAATGTTTGGTTAAATGTTTGAAGATGATGAACTGTGAATATACAAGCAAGCAATTCTGGTAATAGCTGGATCTGTTATACTAGGATTTCATCAAATGACTGAAACGAAAATCCTCGAACAAAAAAAATGTAGAAAAATGTCGATATTACAATTGCCCAAAGATAGAATAAGGCACGCTATTTCCAAAGCAAAGAGAGTATGGGCGTTTTAGGGTTTACTAAATTGGGAAAAAGAACAAAAACATCTTTTATAGCATGTACTTTGTAGTGTGTTGACTCAAATGATTAATTATGCATTTTCAAGTAAAATATTAATCCGGCAAATTGATGGATTACATAATTGGACATGTGAAGGCATAATTGAAAAAGCAGCAAAGAGCCTATACTAGCCCGGGCCGAAGATCAATTCCACACTTTCAACCGATGAACCAAACGCCGGATCTAGTTGGATAAATTGTTCAGTCCTACCTAGGGGTGGAGATCGGACGGATCGGATCGGAAACCACCGGTTTGGAAAAAATCCGATTTTTTTCGGAAGTCAAAAGGCAATTCCGAATCCGATTCCGAAAATTTCGGAATAGAAAAACTCATTCCGATTCCGATTCCGAAAATTCCGGTCGGAAATTCGGAATTTTCGGAATCGACGATTTACGGCGACTCTGTTGCTTTTCCGCGACGGAGCAACGACGATGGAGCGATTTTGAGGCAAACTCATTTCCTATTCCAAAGACACCCTCTTCCGCAAAGAATCTTTCAAATCTTGAAAATGCTTGTGAAATGATGAACGGGCGGATCTCGACAAGAAAATGGAAGAAAAATGTAGAGAAAAAAGAAGGCGGCAAAAGAAGACGTCGCCTGCAGGAAGATTTTTTAACGAATAGAAAAGAGAAGAAGAGGTGGGCGGAAGAGGGAGAAAAAAAAGGGGCAGAGAAGGGGGTGTGTGGCTGGTAGCGGCGGAGGAAGAAAAGAAAGAAAGTTAGGGTTTTGATATTTAATCTTTAGTCATTTAAAATTATAAACATAGAGTTTGGGTTTGGGTTGTAGTTTGCTAAATGGGCTGCAGGCTTATTCTTTTTAAACATGAGATGGGCTTTCTCGAAATTGAAGAAGTAGTAAATGGAAAACAAAACTACAATATAATTAATAAATAGCAATAATTTCGGAAAAAATCGGAAAATTTCGGAAAAAAATGGAAAATTTCGGAATTATATTCGGATCGGAATTCGGAAATTCCAAAATTTTGATATGTATTTCCGATTCCGATCCGATTTTTTTCGGAAATTTCGGAAATCGGAATTTCGGAATTCGGAAGTGAAAAAATCGTTCCAAAATCGGAATTATTCGGATCGGATTCGGCGGAAATCGGAAATTTCGTTCCGATTTCCACCCCTAGTCCTACCTTTTCCATCAAACTAAAAGGGTCCTTCGTATAGAGAGAAGGGCCTCTTTGATATAACCCCCTCAATATTACTTTTAATAAGGGGAGACCCAAATTATTTTGCACCATTTGAGAAAAGTCCCTTCTTAATTTCAACCACCTTTTGTTTCCAGTTATTTCCCTGCCATCTTATCATCACTATCATCAATTATGTCCCTGCCACCTCATCAACCTTTTTTTTTGATTTTTTAATTATTTTTTGATTTTTTAGTTTATAATTTTTTTTAACTTTTTATTTGCTTCATTTTTTAACTATATTTTTCTCTATCATGTATATGAATCGACTATGAGATCTAAGCATAGTTGATTGAGAAACTGACTATTAGAAAAAAACACAACTATGTAAAAACGAAAATCGACATTATTTTTACATAACAAATAATATACATAAATTGTAATTGATTTATACAAATCAGAATCAATAAACAAAAATTCAAAAATGAATTAAAAAATGAAATCAAGTAACATTAATCGACTACCAAAACAGTCGATTAACACTTTAATCATCTACTAGAGCAGTCGATTAACATAATCGACTACCCGAAAAACACATAGTCGATTAAGGGTTCAGCCTGCGCGAATTTCTCTACCGCGCCGTCCTACGCCTAATCTACCAAAAAACCCTAGATCTGATCTTCATCGGCACCATGCCACCGCCACACCATCACCACCACACATCTATATTGTGACGGTGTTTAATAACAAATAAAGTAAATTACAACCCGCATCACCAACCCAAACAAATCCAGTACCATCAAAACCACTAAAACAAAGCCACTCAAACCCAATTTTCGTCATGACCACCGCTGTATCTAAAAATAGACAGCAAAATCAAATTAAAAATCCATAATCTGCAGCGACGAAGAACAAATATTCAAAAAATCGAAACGAAGAATAATCAAACATCTCTACTACATACCAACAATTGAAACGAGAAACAAAATTAACCACGAACAATCACCGGAATCATATCGCAAAAACCAACTGAGAAACAAATCTGAAAGAATCAATCGAAATTGAGAAAGATATCAGTTGAAGATTTTATCTTATAAGAAAATTGGGGTGAAGTGTGAAGATCAGAGGGACAAAGTAGAGAACTGTAGACCCAAATTGGATAAAATTTAAGCAGAGAGAGTAGAGAGAAGAAAAACAAAAGGTATGATATATAATTAGGATTAAATAGTTATAATCACATAAAAGATAGTTTAAAGAAAATAAAAATATTATTTGTGTAGAATATCAAGTAATGGGTTTTCTTTAATTATTTTTTGGAGTGCTATTTCCTTCACTACATTTCGTAGTAGATGGGTCTTGCTAATTTTCCCCAAGAGAATAGCCTTTTCATCCTTCCTCTTTTGCCCTCTCCCCTTATTTTCCCGCCTTGCAATTGTCCTTCCGCATACAGAGAAGCGAGAGCTCCCGAAAGCTAGGGTTTCCATCTTCTTGAAAATGATAGTCGACGATTACAAGTTTCTGCAAATAAAGGATGCAACGGCCTGCATTAATCAGCAAGTCAATCTCATCGGTGTTGTGGTCGAGACCAGTGCTCCCAAACAATCTAGAGGAAGCGGTAATTTTCCCGCTATTTTTTTTTTTTTAATTTTAATAAATCAGGAGTTGTTGTATTTCCTTCAAAAGCATTATTCATCTGAAACCCTCGCCTTCTATTGTGTTGTTGTTTCCAAGATCTGTTCTGCTCAGTAAAAATCATTGACGAATCGTGGCCGCTTGGGTTTCACATCAAGTTTTTTGCTGAAACTAGGGCGAAGCTCCCTTATGTTGATACTTTGGGCGATATAATTATAGTTACTCATGTCGTGGTAAGTGAATTTCATTGTACTTTTATTTTTTGCCTACAGGTGGAAATTCATATGGGGTTTGAAGTTAGGGATTTTTGTTTTTTTTCAGTGTTTGGGTTGGTTATTTATTTGTGTATTGTTTTTCTACAGGTGCAAACTATGGGTTCTGAGGTTGTTGCTTCGTTTAAGAAGAGATCTTCGTCGTTCGCTTTATTTGAAGGGAGGGAATGTAGCGGTAAGGAATTCGTGCCTTATAAATTTTCACCGAACTACAAACCCAGAGATCAGGACAAGAAGTTCATAACGGGGTTAAGGAAATGGTGCATGCAGCAAAAAGTCAAAGGTGGGCGCTCTTCTTTGTCATAGCATATGTATTAGTCTTAAAATTCTTACCGTTTAGGTTTTTTCTTAATTTTCTTTTTTTGGTGAAAGATAAATTTTCCGTATAAGTTGGGACCTCTTAAGCAAGCAGGTTTTGATGGAATTTGATATGTGCTTTTATTTGCTTCGTAGGCTTGAATGAGTTGCCGTCATTTAAAGATATCAAGGAAGGCAAACGCCTCAATTTGCTCTGCAAGGTAATTCAGAATTGCGTATAATTGACTTGTGCATTCAAAGAGTTGGAAATTGTATTTCTCGAGGAAAAAAAGTGGTGATATAATGTTCTTTTTTTCCTCCTCTTTTGGCACTACTGCTAGATTTTGCACATATGTGAAGTGAAGAAGAACGAGTGGATGCTCTTTGTTTGGGATGGAACAGACACACCACCTCTTTCTGTTGAAGCGAAGTTAGTATTTCTGTTTTCTTACAAATCGTTAGTAGTAGATTATTTTTCTTTTTTGCCGCAATATAAATTCCGTATGGTGGATAGTCGAAGGTTATTTGTTGTTAATGATAATAGTCATTACGTCTTATGTATGTGGATGTTTGATACCTTGGATCAGCACGCAAGCTTTATGAATTACTTTGTAAGTTCACCTTTAAGTTGGCCTTAGTTATTAGCCAATCTGCTTGCCACATGAGAATCTAAGCTAATAACTGCTCTTTTTCTTGCTTATTTATATATATATATATATATATATATATATATATATCTCCACGAGGGAATGGAAAATTATACACGGTAATTTTTACCTCACCCTATCATATATAGTTGAATATCATTTGATTGCTGCTTTTTAGAATAATGAACTCTGAGCGTGGATCATGTTGGTGTAAAGTATATAGGCTTTATGTAATTATAAATGCCTATGTACACTGGGAAATCTCATATTATGGTGGTTTCTATAACTTAATTTCAAACAATGGCACCTTACAATTAGTAATGTTCATCTTCTATAAAAATAACGTGTTGTATTTGAGATGATAGTGGATTTGCTGGTACGTCATTTTGCGACGTACATTTTTTTTGTTTTGGCAATCTTGGTTGGAAATTCCGGAAACAAATTTAATCTGCAAAATCACGGACCCTTCATGTTCTCATAATCGGCCCCGAAAGGGTATCAGTTATCACTTATCAGTACCACCCTTTGCTTCCGGGGTAGGTAACTCGACGAACCTAATGTGTATCTACCAGTTGACCAGGAAAACGAATCTTATTAATATTCTATCTTCAATTTGGCTTATCCATAATCATTCACTGCATTTCTAACAGGATCCAAAAGCAACGTTAGATGCTTTATGCTTAACAAATAACTTAAGACAAGGGATAATTATAAACATGCAGTACTTCATAATTCATATCAAGAAGCACACTGTACTGGCGATTATTTTTCTCTTCATCTTAAAGATGGACCTCTACTAGTGCAGTTATCCCCTAAGAAAGATTGTTTCTGTTGCACTATTTATAGTGTATGCGTATGATAGATGGTCTATATAGAATCCAACCTAAAAAATTCTCTCTCAAATGAGTATATTGTAAAATTCAGAACATGAAGTAGCTGAGCCAAGCTCCCCTTCTCCTTTAGGTTTCAATGTTGGTCCACATAAATGTTTTAGGAGTGTAAATGAACTGAGCGGGCTCACGAGCCTGATTAACCCGGCCCTACAAGAGCTTGAGCTCTGTCCACTACTATTTGTTCATAAGCTCACAAGCCGACTTGTGAACCTTTTTATTTATTTTATTATAAATATAAGTGATACGTAATAATAAAAATATTGTAAGAATAAGGTAATAACAAATATATAAAAAATTGAGTTCAACTAGTTTTTATTTATTTTTAGTCTTTTAATTTAATATAAGTCCTTTAATAATAATAAAAAAATAGTACCAGAAAGAACATATAAATAATAAAGAATAAGCTTGAGTCTTAGTATGGCGATTGGAGCGCGACCTCGATCTTGATAAATGAACTGAGCTCAACGTTAGCTCGACCACATCCTAAATTTTTTAGTATCTTTTTCAAGGGAAACAGAAATTCCCTTGTGTTTTCTGTCTGAACTATTTACTCATAAGTGGAATATTCTTAAAGCCATTTTACTTTGGGGATAGCTATGTATGTTCAACATTAAGAATATGTTCTGGTGGACAGGTGAAATTGTGGCTTTGATGAAATTGTTCTTCATAGGTCTTACATTTTGCTAGACTCATAATAAGTAATCTGATGTTTTTCTTCTGTAAATGATTACGTTACTTCATACTTTTGGGAAAACTGTTAACTACTAGCAAGAAAGATCAGAATTATTGTCAGATTAATTCTCTTAGGGTTATTTAATAATTTCTTAGGCGTAATTTAATATTATTATGGTTATAATATTCTAGAAGTAAGAGTATAGTCTATTAATATTCAATAGGATTCCAACTTTTTATGATTGAATGGATGATTTATTTAAACAATGAATGATTTTTTTGGCTGTTTCTTTTAATTATATATTAATTTATTATCTAAATTTGCATTTTACATATTAAAAGACTATCTTGATATAGCATCATTTCTCTTTGATCTACTTTTTTCAGACTAGAAGATGAGATGGAAAATCCACTTCCTTTAGATTTGGACCCTTCTCCTTTACCAAGAGACATTTTATGTACCTTTCCAGCTGTCGGCACTGTCTTGAGGATCATTGTTGATCAAGGAAACGAGAGTCTTGGTATTAAGTTCTTGAAAACAAATAAATGGGTGAAAATTATCAGCGTAAAATGTGAAATTCGCGCTTCGCTGTGGCGTGCCGTGCTGATGCCCTTCTCTAGGATTTGCTACTTGCCCGAGCTTGATACCTCTGTAGTACAACGTCAAAGGTAATTTCGCTACTCAAAGTGGATTCAATTTGTTCCACAAAATATGTATACGTGATATTTTGGTTTTATAATTCCAAATAGTCATATATTTTTGTTTGTTTTAATTGATCAATGATCTATCTGATTGGATTCAGATTATATAACGAGCGTTTGCCATCCACATGGGGAAGAATGCCGTTCACGTGTTTTCCTTGGCCTTCTTACATAACAGGTTAATTGCGAAGAGATAGGAAATGAATTAGTATTTTCAGTTTCAATGATAATAACACCGTTTCTTATAATGCAATATTCATTTCTTGAATATTCAGAGACGGAGTATCCCGATGTGCCCTTTGTCACTTTGATGAATGTCCTCACGCACGAAGAGGTAACTTACCTATAACACAGACAGCGCATCTCTCTCGTAACACGTATGATGTATATCTACTTATTGACTTATAAAAAAACTCGTGTATTTACGGTCTTTTTAGTTTTTGAGGACTTCTCGATTGCTCGTTTTGGCATGTAACTAGGTCCATGGAAGTTTTGCTAGGTTATTATTTATGCTGATTTTCTCGGATTCAAGGGAAGATAGCCCATCCGCTGAATCTATACTAAATTTTTCCAAAGTTTATCTAAATTCAACTGTATTTTCTAGTCATATACTTTTATTGATCCAAATATAATTTATGCCGAGTTTTCCAAAATTTATGCAGATTTCCCTCATGATTTGTTTTTTTGGTCGTCATTGCAGGTGACATATAAGTATAGGTGTGTAGTTCGAGTTGTCGCAATATTCCCATGGAGGGTGGAGGATTTTCGCTCTCCTAGTGGTATTTACAGACTGAGGTTAACTCTTGAGGACCCCACTGCAAGAATTCATGCTTTTCTCTATGCAGAGGATGGGGTAAATATTTTCACCATTTAATTTCCGTTATTATTTGTTTCATTCTACCTAATCATATATATATGTAGTTTGTAATATTGTGTGATGGAATATTTTGGTACACAGACGAAATTTTTCGGGGATTTTGACTCGATGGATGTGCTGAGAGAAAAACGGGACATGTTGCTTGGAGTTCCTGAAGAAGACAAATCGCAGGAAGTGCAGAAAGTTTCGAGAAATCCACCATGGATACAATGTTGCTTGAAATCTTACTACACTGACAAAAGTGATGTTTGGGGTAGTAGGAATTTTCGGATCTTTGACACTACGTTTGTCGGCTGATCACAATTGTTACACTTTAATTTCTCAGACTTGAGAATGTAGAGCTGTATATTGTACTGAATTGTATGAAATGTAGAGACTCTACTTAGGCTATGGTGTTTGGCGTAAAGGCTGACAACATATGTAAAATATTTTGAATGGTTTTGAATGTAAAATTTATCAACCTTTATGTGAGTCCAACTCTGAGACTCCACACGTTTTCAGGTTCTGATTTTATTGATACTACACCAGGAGAAATATATTGGGCAACGATAAATTTTGCAGTGTTTTTTTTCTTTTGATAATTCACAGTCATAATTCACACATATATGGGGAATACGATGCTACACCCGGTGATTTTCACCGAGTGGCTCTTTTCTTGACATGTGTCATTTTTTATTTATTTTATAATTATATTTCTAAAACTCATTGGGCCATAATTGAACCCGTAGTGGGAATCTTATTAATTAGGGTGCCTGGTTATATTCACCAGGTGTAGCATAGAATTTCCCCACATATATGGATGTTCAAGATGTGTATTACAATTTAAATAGGGTTAAATATAGTTTACACCCCTAAAATATACCTTATGTAACTTTTACCCCTCTAAAGTATGCTTGTAACACTTACAATTTAATTTGTATTTTAAATTCTCGTACCTTAAAAATTCATTCTTTTATTGACAGAAACAACTAAAAAAATTAATTAAATATACAACTAAAATATCGGTTAAAAATGCAATATTTTAAAATTTAAAAATATTATTTTACATTGGGTACATATTTAATAAATAAGATCTAATTGTTGTTGGACCAATTAATGGAATTGTGTCTTTACAAATAAGCCCATCAATGGGTACTTATTCATAAAGAGATCCAGACAAAAAACTCCTTTACAAATAAGTCCACACATGGTCCAAATTTTTGTAAAAGACTAAAATAGCCCCTCATACTTTAATATACTAAAATTTCATCCTTAATTTAATTTAACCTCAATTTGACCCCAAATTTCACAAATTATTCAATTTTGACCCAAATTGTTTTTTTCAAAAAATATTTTTTTGCCGCCGGATTCCGGCGTTGACTTTTCGATTTTTTTTTTGTAACATTTTTTTTTCGTTTAAACAACAATATTGATGTGATTAGCAATAATATTAACTATATTACTGTTAAACACAATAAAATTAACTATACTACAGTTTAACAGAGTAATATTGCTATATTAATCTCTAGCACAGTAATATTAACACAACAAAACTCATTATTATTGTGTAATAAAGTAATATTACTACGTTGACCGTTCAACAAATGTAAACATAATAAAAAGCCAAAATAATTAATATTACTGTGAGTGGCAATAATATTACTATAACAACAACAATATTACCGTCAACCACAGTAATATTACAATAATAGACAATAATATTATTACGTTACTATGTGAGTAACTCAAACAAACAAAAAAATCCAAACAAAATAATAATATTGATGTGGTTGACAACAATATTACTATAACAACAGTAATATTACCGTCAACCACAGTAATATTATTGTGTTTACAGTAATATTACAATAATAGACAGTATTATTATTACGTTACTCCCTGAATAAATCAAACAAAACAAAAACCCAAAAAAATAATAATATTGATGTTGTTGACAGTAATATTATTGTGTTTACATTTATTTTACTGTCAACGACAGTAATATAATTACGTTGACTTGTCAACAAATCAAACAAAATAAAAATAAATAACAAAAAATAAAAAAATAATAATAATACGTTAATTTACTGTCAACGACAGAACAATTACATAAATGTATTGTCAACGGCAGTACAATTACGTTAATTAACTGTCATTGACAATATAATTACGTTAATTTATTGTCAGTGACAGCACAATTACAGTCAAAGTTTAGCGGCGAACGTAAAAAAAAAATCCTTAAAAAATACACTAAAAAAAAGTCAACGCCGGAATCCGTCGGCGGAAAAAAATAGACCAGAAAAAAAAAAACAAATCAACGCCGGAAACCGGCGAAAAAATCCGGAAGAAAAAAAAAATAAATAAAAAAAATCGAAAAGTCAACGCCTGGAGACCGGCGTTGACCGCAAGTCAACGCCGGAATCAGGCGGCAAAAAAATGAAGACCTAATTTTTTGGGATAATGGGATCCCACTAATTTCTCTAATCCCCTACTAATTGGAGAAAGTAACAATAAGTAAAAATATGACTATAATTTATGTATTTAACCGAAAGGAAAATAGTAAATAATATTTTTTTTTGAAAGAACATAATAAATAAAAGGGTAAATTCCACTTTACCCCCTTGTACTCTGCCCAAGAACCACTTTACCCCCTCGTACTCTTAATTTTGTCGATTTACCCCCTTGTACTTGTACAATGTGCCAATACAACCCTCTTTGTCAACTTTTTTCGATTTTGACTCTAACGCCATTTGGTCAAGAGTCAAAATATTGACGTAAATATTGAATTTTATCGATTTTGACTCTCGAGATTAGAAAAGAGAAAGTTTCACACATTCATATGTTTTTTTCTTTGCACTGTGAGGAATCGATCAATTTTTGGGTCTTGATTTTTACTAAGTTAGGTGTTCAATTGGGGATATCTTGGAAGTGGAAGTGGTGAGAGAAGTAGAAATGACAATATTGACGGAGGAGAAACGATGCGTTATAGGCAGTGGCAATTTTGTAATTTACAGAGTTGACCAAACGGCGTCAGAGTCAAAATTGACAAAAGTTGAAGGAAATGACTATAGGGAAATTGTACAAGTACAAGGGGGTAAATCCGTGAAATTGAGAGTACGAGGGGGTAAAGTGGAATTTACCCTAAATAAAATTGAAGACTATGATTCTTAAAAAATGTAAAATAAATATCAAAATAGAAATAATAAATAAATAAATAAAATTCGAATATATATAATATTAAAATTTTATTTAATTTATTTTTTGCTTTCACTATTCTGCTACTTAAATATAATCATTTTAATATGAAATTAACTCATCACATAATATGTTTTACTACATTAAACATAAATATTTGTTTTATTTTGTTTTTTAAATTTTTTATTAAATCTAATTTGTGTGTATATATAAGATTTTTTTATTAAAAAAAGAAAAAAATAATTGAATAAAAGAATTGAAAAAAAATTGTAGAATAATGAATGTATGGGCGACGACGGTATGGCATCATCCATACTGCCCATAGATTCTTCCCTATAAATAGGATGCTACGTAATTGTAAGTTTTTTTTTTGTGATGAACGTAATTGTAAGTTTCAATATCATATTTTCATATTTTCATTGCATCTTCAGTAAACATGCATATTTGCAAATTCTTTCTCAGTTCAATAATAATAATTCTTCTTTTATTTTGTCTTAACCTCGATTCATTAATAGGATAAGAAAAAAAAGTTTTCAACTACCAATGAATATTCTCTTCTAAAAAAGGTACAATTTGATATGTTTATAATTTTTTAATTTATAATTCGTATGTTGCTAAAAGTTTGTAGTTTATAATTCATTAGTTACATTCATAAATTTTGAGGTATTTTTGTAGTTTATAATTCATATTTTTAAGTAATATTAAAATTAGTATTGAGCTCTAATAGCACTCACTTTTTCTACAATTATGTAAAATGGATCCAAAACCTGATATCGGTTAGGAATTCGGCGACATGGTTGGTGACAATCGAAAAAAATCAAATGTAAATTATGTTATGTAGTAACTGCAGGCGGGATAACAAGATTGAAACAACATATCGCCCACATGTCTGGAGACGTAGAGGCATATAGAAAGGCTCCTAAAGAAATTTCGGTAATGTTACGAAAACATCTTCACGATTCCAAAGCTGCTAAAGCAATAATGAAAAAACAGAAAGAAACATCTATAATGTCCATTTGTAAAAGAAAGTAGGGACATCAATGACGTTAGTTCTGAAAGTAGCAGCGGGAATGATGATGAAAAAGGTTCCCAATACGCAAATAAAGAGCACTTATCCAAAATGGAGAAAAAATAATTGCGGAATGCGATGAGGGAAAGTCGAAAACTAGCTTTCGATGAAGAAGAGCGTAGGCGATATGATGACAGTATATGAACTTTTATATCCTACTCAATTGTTATACTTATACAATATGTCAGTTAATTTGTTTTATTTAATTGTAGGGCATGCTGGTGGTACTTCGTCTCGAAGTCAAACATCAGGTGGGAAACAAGGAATATTCCGTAGTTTCAGCGTTAGAGAAGGATCTACAAAGTCTTGACGCGGGGTTGATCCTTTAATGTTTCCAACAAAGTAAAAAAGTCTCAAACACTTGTTCGCTCCTCAAAAAATCAAAGCAGTTGGTAAGGCCGTTTCAAAATGGTTTTTATTTAATGCCATTCCGTTTCATGCTGCTGATAGTGGATCTTATTATCAGTCCATGATACAAACTACTGCTGAGGCTGAGACTGGAATTACAGGTCCTTCAGGCCGTCAAATTTGTAGTACTTATCTAGATGATGAAGTTCTTGAAATTGACGGGTATATAACCACTTTAAAAACAAAATATAGGAAGAATAGAATTGGAGAAGAAGAGAAATAATAATACGTAATAGAAACCCCCATTATGTTATGGGTTGAATTACATGGAATATATATAGAGAAATATTGTAAGGTAATAGAGTTTGACTAGGTAACTAAATCCTAACTAATCTAGATAACTGAATCATACTAGAATCCTAATATTAGGAGAGTTCTATAATATAATATTCTCTAGCACGCCCCCACAGCCGAAACGTGACGAACGTGAAGATTGGACCGCAGTCATAACGAATAAACTCCAAAAGTGAAGATTGGAAAGAAAACCCGCGAAATCGAGTCCTTGATGAAAATATCTGCCAAATTAATAGAAAGAAGAAAATAACATGGAGATTTTTTTTTTCTTATTATTATTATTATTATTATTATTTTTTTTTTTTGAATCGAGAGAAAAGATACCGACTAAGAAGAAGAACAAGATGTCGGAAAAGATAGAGAAGAAAGATATTGAAGAAACGAATATAAGTAGAAGAGAAGAGTAACACCACCGGGGGAAAGAATTGGTTTGGTGGTCGCCGGCCATGGAGAAGAAGAGAAGCGGCGGCTAGGTTTTAGGCCATGGAGAAGACGAAGAAGAAGAAAAAGAAGAAGAAGAAGAAGAAAGAGATAGAGAAGATGCACCACCGGGGGAGGGAGAAAATTCGGGTGGTGTTCATAAAAAAGATAGAAAAGGAAAAAATAAAGAAAAATATTAG